ATATTTTCATGGATGTAAAATCCACATGCGTCTACTGGTTTATTGCTAAAGAAATATGTGTCAACTGAATAGAGGCATTTTAAAGACTTTCAAGTTAATACAGTTGTACCTAACCAATTTAATGGCGTAGGTCATTCTTCTGAAGAAACATAAGGCAGGCAAAACATACTTTGCATTAATAATTGTAAGCACATTTAATATTCTCTAGAAGCAGAATTCATACAGTCCAGAGAGGAGTTAATGCTTTTGGGACTAGTTATAGCACTACAGTCTAACATAAATCATTTAAATATGAATTATGTTCTGAAATGATTGCTTTTCACACTCTCACTAGGCCACTTCGCCACATTTTTACCTTAACCCCCAGCATTAAGTAGTGTTTCTCTTTGCTTTTGGTTGTAATTACTGATGATCACTATATCTAACAGTCTCAATGTGTCTCATCTTAAACAAAACATAATCTTATATACTTACAAACAAGACTGAAGTAACTGGTTTGCAGAGACTGTGGTAAGCTAAAGCTGTGAAGTGCTTTGAAAAATCTGGATGAAACATTTAGATCTCTGTGTCTTAGACCCCTGTGTATTACAGGAGCACAAGTACCAAGGTACTTCAGGTGCAGTTCACGCCTAGTTCAGAAAAATGTTATTTTATGGTACACTTGGCATGTAAGGTGATAGAGCACAAAATACTTGGTAGTAATTGCTTTTCCCCTTGAGAAATGTGCAAAACATCAGTCATCATACAATAAAAAGAGGCAAACTACCATATATTTCTTGCAAGTTGAGAGCATGACTGAACACTATACCTAATTCCTACAAAAAGTTTGTAAAATACCTGTTAATCTCTCAGTGATGGATTCTAAATTTATTTTCCCTTACTGCAGGAGATGGCAGGCTAGATTGCTGTATGCAGTAGATGCCCTGTGGCATATGGTACGTCTAATACAATAAATAGCACGGTAAACAGGGGCAAACAGGTGTCAACAGGTCCTGTCCCCTAAAATATAGGATAAACAGAGAAGTTTACTGAGGACTAATACAGCTTCATTGTTTTTGGTGTATTCCTTTCTTTTGTCGGCTCAATCCTAGGAAATATCCTATAAATAGCGTGGAATTCCTTAATGAAGAGTTTCAATAATTTTTTTTTTCTTTTGCTGCCAATACTTCTTTTAATTTGTAGATTTTTAATGCATAGTTTTACCCCTTCAGATAAATGAAACCAGATGACCTATTTTACTCTGGTAAAGACAACATCATTAATAATATCATTTTGCCACTTGAAGAAAAAAAAGCTGCAGTCCCTCTGCTTAGCACTAAGCATGGACATCAGTTTTTCACGTGTAGGTCCAAATTAAAAGGCAATAATGCATATTAACAGATTTTTTTCTGGACAAATTTACCTAACAGCTACACCAATGCTTTAGTAATGGGTATGTCAAATAATATCTAATTATTTCAGTTAGATTTCAAAGTGTCAGTGTTCTTCCATCTGTTCCTTGTCCGCTTTGGTCCATTGCCCCACACACTCCTGCTGATCCACAACTCACATTCCCTAGCATCTTACTCTCTAGTCGGATACAGGATGTTTCCTCTGGAATCCAGAGTTGAAATCCCAATCCCTCTGAAATCAATCATTTCTAATGCAGCTTTGTCTGGCTGATTTCATAGCACAGAGTATATTCTTTACTTTTTAGCTGGGGCAGAGCTCTTTCTGGAGGAGACCGATGAACTCCAAGTCTCCTTTTAGGATAAAGGACAGGAATAAAAGGGGGTAGGGAGATACGGTGAGTACTGTCACAAACTCCCTTGTTTTATTTAGTAGCATCCTGGCAACTGCAGTTCTTACAGCACTTGCATTTGTATTCAGAAAGCTGAGTCAAGAATTTTAAATCCCAGTGTATTATGCTTAGCTCACAATTCAGTGCTTTTAATTAAGAATGAAAACTGTGCCTAATTGACAATCTTTGAAAAGAATTTCCAGCCTTCCCACATCATTTGGGTTGGCACCAGAGAAATCGATGTGACAGAGGAAGTTGATCGATGAAATCTAACTCTGTCTAGCCTGCATTAATAGCTACACACACATTATTCATATGATGCAGCACACAAAAAAGAACATTTTACACACAAGAAGGTTCTTTTCAACAATGGTGCAGGCAAATCCCAAACCTGTACTCAGAGACTGTGTGCATAACCCAATTGGTACAGTTAGTATGTAGGTTCGGTGTCTTTTAGAATCTACCCAGTGACCCTGCCTTCGTACAAAAAAAAAAGCAGCAAAGTTGAGAAGCAAGAGTACACAGTGGATGTGAGAAGTGCTTATGATTCAAAGATGTAGCCAACTGAGGTTTGCAGTCAAACAGCTAAGCCAAAACAGAAGCAAGTGACAAGTATTTAGGTTGTCTCCCCAGCTTGCACAGAGCGTGATCTGTGCTCCAGACACAGGGCCCACCAAGTCTGTTTGCAGCAGTGCTGACTTCTAAGTGTTGAACCATTTTTGTTCTCTGCCCCTTCTGAAAAAGAAGCAACTCTGAACGGTGCAGTGCTTAAGTTGCATGAAGGCACAGGGGTTCTTGCTGATTTTCCCTTTTCTTTTTTGTCCCAAGCTGACATGTTCTGGTCAATGGCTTCTCTAAGGAGAAATCGGTCATACAACACATCCATTCTTACTCACCGGCTCCTTGCTGTCTCCCAACGAGGACATCTGCTCCTGCCATGCATCCCATGCCCAGAATGCAGACGACGATCCCAATGAAATGTACTGCCTTGTATCGTACCAGTAAGAAGAACCAGGAGAGCAGTATCACCACTGGGATGACAAAACAGTCTAGAAGCTGTCAAGAAGAGAGGAAAAATTAACAAATCAATCTGCTAACACTTTTCCCTAAAATGCTAGGATAGATTCCAGCAGATGAGAGCAGGGTTATTTTGTCAGTAATAGCACTTTCTACCAGACAGAAAGTGTATTCAAGTGGTTATGTCATCCATCAGACAGAGGACAAGACTGTATTCTGTTCGTGACTGTTCCATCAATTCAGGAAAGCTGCTGCTCTACGGTAACACCCAACAGCACTGCCTTGCTCTTGGATTCAGATGCATATTTCAAATCCATGGGAAGGAAACCTGGGCCAAAAGAGAGCCACACCACTCCATCTGGTCCCCGGCTCTGGTGATTAACGGACAAAGACTGAGGGCACTCTTCCTGCAGTCCAGACATATGCTTTAATTCAGTCATTTCAGGTCCAATTAGCAGGAA